GGAAGCAGTGCTCCTGGGGCCCAAGGAAGGCACCAAGCTGGTGGGGTGAACAGGGTCAGGAATCAGCAGTGGCTCCCCAGGTGTCTGGGGCCCCAAGACTAGGAATGGCACAAGGCCCAAGCTAGGAGTAGAGAACAGCGGGGGAGATGGAAGGGTGAGCGCGGCTGGCGGAGTCAAGGTGCGGAGGGCAGCACGGTAGACTTACCCCCAGAGAGGCCTGAGGGCGGGAGAGCGGGCCAGGAGAGTTAGCCAGTCAATTTCTTTTTATTTTATGTGTTTGAGTGTTTTGCCTGCATATAAATAAGTGCACCTATGCATGCAGTGCCCTTAGAGGTCAAAAGAAGGCATCTCATACTTTGGAACTAGAATTATAGACAGCTATTAGCTACCATGTGGGTGCTGGAAACAGAACCTGGGTCCTCTACAATATCAGCCAGTGCCCTTAACTGCTGAGACATCTCACCAGCCCCTATTTTATATTTTTATACTGAGTTTTAAAAACACCTTAGTATATGAAATTGTTCCTTGGTACTATGTGTAATTAAATTTTTGTTTATTTGCTTTATATTTTATGACCATATTTCACTTTGCCTATTAGTTTTTCATGTAGGATTCTCAGAATTTCCTACATGGATAGTCATGTCATTTCTTGGGTTGGTTTGTTCTGTTCTCTTTTGCTTTGTTTTGTGACAGGATCTCACTATGCTACCTAAGCTTGTCTTAACCTCCTGGACTCAAGTATCCCTCCTATCATAGTCTCCTGAGTAGCTGGGACTACAGGAGTGTATCTTTGCACCTGGCTCATGACATCTGTCAATAAATGTAGTTTCAGTAATTTTACTTTCATTTCCATAGTTTTTTTCTTTCCAACTTGAGTGTTGTTTGTTCCTTTTCCTCCTTATTTTTCTAGCTAGAGCCTCTGGTAAAATGTGTATCTTTGCCTTGATTGTAGGGGAAGACATTAACTGGTTCATCATTTGGTGTGATATAACTGAAGATACTTACTTTTGGATCTGGTGTCTCAGTTTTTATGAGTCAGAGTTGAGTTGTATTCAGTGCTCTTTCTCTGCTCTTTGAATTACTTGTCTGCTTATGTAGATTTCATTCATTGTCTAGCATTTGTGCTCATTTATGATGTTAACCTTTTTATGGGTTGCTGGGTTTGATTTTCTTCAGAGTTTTGTTGGGTGAGGGATTTTTGTCACCATTGTTCATGAAGGATATCATCCAGTAACTTGTTGTCTTGTGTCACCTTTGTAGACTTTTGGGACCAGGATAATGTTGACCTCATAAGATTACTTGTAGAGTATTCCTTCAGTTTCAGTTTTTTGAAACAAATGTGTAGAATTGGTATTACTTCTTCCTTATGCTTTGGTAGAATTCAGTAGTAAAGCCACTTTTAGTCTACACTAGTGCAACTTGAATTAACATCATAGTTTTAAGTGTAGCTTGAGAATTTTGCAGTGGTACTTTTAACTTCAGTCCTTTGTACTAATGTTTTCATGGATTTTATTTCTCTTTTTTCTTTATAATTTTAAGTTAGCATGCAAAGCAGTGGGTTTCATTGCATTTATTCTACCTGATGTGAGGTTGTTCTCTGTTCTCAAGTGCCAAAGTAGTTTTAAACAATAATTGTCTCTTAAGATGGTGCCAAGCTACTCAGCCACACAATGGGATTCCTTCCCACCTCTGTCTGACCTAGCTGCTAAAGGAATCACTGTCTCACTAAGACCTGCAACTGAATTTGTGGCTTATGCGGGCTTGTTGAGAGAGTAGGATTGCTAGTTTTTCACCGTGGTGTCTGTGTGCCCTGCCCATGAGTCAGAGCCATGTCAAGCTGTGTTCAGTTTGACTTCTTTTTGGTGCCTTACCTGGCCTTTTCTCTGAACTTCTCAGCTGTTCTGTCACTACCTTCATCAATTTCCAAAGCTCTTTCTTTTTTCTCTTTGGAATAGAGTTCATTCTTTCTTGTACTGACTCTTCTTAATCTGGTCACATGGAGATAGCTTTTCCTCTGCTGTCTTACCTGGTAATCCATACATTTTCCTTATATGTTACAAATTCTACAATGTACTGTTTTTGTTAACATGTTTTACCACGATTCAATTTAAAAAATCCTTTATATTTTATCCACATATTTACCGGTCTTATGCTCTTTATTCATTTGTGTTGATATGTAAATTTCCATCTTGTATGATGACCTTCTTAAAACATTTCTTCTAGTACACATCTCCTGAAAATAAATTCTTAAAAGTTTTTGTTCAAGAAGTCTTTCACTTCCCTTTTTGAAAGATGTTTTTACTGGATATAGTTCTTGGTTTAGAGTGGTTTTCCTTTTTTTTTTTTTTCTTTTAATTAAAAAATGTATTTTATGTGTATGAGTGTTATGCCCGCTGTATGTAATTGCACCCATGTCATGCAGTGCCCACAGAGAATAAAAGAGGGTGTCAGATCCCCTGGAATTGGGGTTACAGACCCTTGCTAGCCATCATGTAGATACTGGAATTCAAATCCAGGTCTCCTGCAAGAACAGTGAGTGCTCTTAATTACTGAGCCGTCTCTCCACCCCACCCTTTTCCTTTTTGAGGCAGGGTCTTGCTATGTAGATCAGGCTGGTATTGAATTTGTAATCCTCCTGTCTCCATCTCCCAAGTGCTAGATTATAGCCCTGAGATACTATGACAACCTAGGTTTAAACTGTTCCTGATGGAAAGCTTATTGTCATTCTTACTTCTGTTTCTTAGTATATAATATTTTTCCCCCTCTACCTGCTTTTAAGATTTTCTTTTTAGCTAGGTGTGGTGGTGAACACCTTTAATCCCAGTACTTGGGAGGCAGAGGCAGGTGGATCTCTGTGAGATCGAAGCCATCCTGTTCTACAAAGTGAGTTCCCGGCCAGCAGGGGCTACAGAGAGAGACTGTCTCTAAAAGACAAAAGATAAAAAACCAAACAAGCATGCAAAAAAACAAAAATCTTTTTAATAACTGATTTTCAGCAATTGGATTTTGATATGGCTTGGTTTGATTCTCTTTATTTTTCTTTTTTCAATTTATGTATTTATAATTTCCATCAATTTTAGAAAATGTAAGGCGACTAATATTTTTTCACATATTTTTCCTATATACCTATTCACCCTTCTTTTCTGGGACTCTGAGTATACATATGCATGATCACTCCATAGCCTTCCATAGCTCAGTGATGTTCTCTGGTTGTTTTTTTTTTTTTTTTTTTTTTATTTTTTGTTTTCTTTTCCTGGAAATTTTTTTTTTTTTTAAATTTTTTTTTTTTTTTTTTTTTTGGTATATATATGCATATATATACATATATGTATATACATATATATATATATATATATAGGGTCTTCCCATAGACCCCTAGCTGGCCTGGAACTCACTATATAGACCTGGCTGGCCTCAATCTCCTGCCTCTGCCTCCTAAGTGTTGAAGGCATGTACCACTATGTCTGGCCCCTCAATGGTATTTTTAGTGTGTAAACAGTTTTTTGTAATGTGCATTCATATTTAAGGCTTTATGTACAGAGGTTACCTGTGGATCCTCAAAAATATATGCTATTTTTCTTTTCATTTTATTTATGTTGTACTTTATGTTCTTGAACATTATAAACATAATTTATAGTAAGTGCCTTAACAGTCTGTCTACTGTCTTCTAAATCTACCATATATGAATCTATTCATGATTTTTTTCATGGTTATGGATCCTATCCTGTAGTTTCTTTGCATTTCTTATGAATTAATTTAGCTACTAGATTTGTATTGTGTTCCTTTAAATAGTGTTAGATCTTGACCTATTTTCCAGTTTAGTTTAAAAGCCAATCATTTCATCCTCTTTTTAACCTTAAAATTATTTATTCATTATTTATATATTGTGTATGGTGTGGGTATGTCTGGTGCAGTTATGTGCTCATGCCACAGAGTCTGTATGGAGGTCAGAGGACAACACTCTTGGTTCTCTTCTTCCACCATGGGGGATCAAACTCAGGTCTTTAGGTTTGTGCAGCATGTGCTTTTACCTGATGAGCCATCTCTCTAGCCTGTGTAATCCTTTTGAGATTTGATTGTAAACACTGTTACAGTAGGTCCTGAGAAATCTTGATTCTGGTATTAGTTTAGTTTAAGGTCTGTGGGTAAGTAGCCTATGTGTTACAAGTGTCTCTTCCCAGCCCTGTGTAAGATCTGGGAACTAATTATTTGGTGCACTGCTTTCCTTGGGTTCTTCCCTTAGTCTCAGCATATTTATTTTGTTGGGACTCACACTCAGTTGAGTACCACAGATTTTTGTGACCCTCCCTGCAGTTCATCTGAAGCTCTGTGCAACTCCCTTCTCTTTAGTACATTGCCCTGCACATTCTAGACTCTATGGTCTCTAAGCTCCAACCTCTTTAATACTCAGATTACTGGACTGTTCCCCATTGTCATCTTGAAACTGTCTCCAGGCAGTAAACTGGAGCAGTTTTAATTTTGTTTTCAGAATTGGAAAGTTTCTAAAACCTTTTCTGAATACATTTGAAGTATAAGCTAAAATTAATAAAGTTCTTTTCTTGATAAAGCATTTTGGATGCTTTGAACATAAGTGCTGCTTTTTGGCTTTTTTAACCCCATTTTGAGTGAGCCTGCTAAAGGCCTTCAGGCATGACAGAACTATTTGCATTTGCTGAATATTTGATAAAATATTTTGGTTTATCTGCTTATGAAGATATTATTTGTGAGTGCCTACTGGCTTTGAAAGGTCAAATTACCTTTCAAGAACTTATGCATTCTTTTTTAGGGCTCAAAGTCTCCTTCACCAAGACCAAACATGCCTATTCGTTACTTCATAATGAAGAGTAGCAATCTGAGAAACCTTGAAATTTCTCAACAGAAGGGTATCTGGTCTACAACCCCTAGTAATGAGCGGAAGCTAAATCGAGCCTTTTGGGAAAGCAGCATGGTTTACTTGGTATTTTCTGTTCAAGGATCTGGACATTTCCAGGTGAGCCATCCTGAAGCAATAAAATGGGCTTGTTCCTGCTATACTACAGCATTCAGAGAAACCATAAAACAAACTGGCTTTTTATTGCATTGGAATGTAAGATTGTCTTTTGCTTGATTGAGAATGAGTTTTATTTTACATTTTTTCAGAATAATAGAACTGAGATCCTTTTGGTTTTGCCTGTCTTAACCTGAGCTTTTCCAGATAAGCAGTTTTTCCTTGTGTAGACAACTTTAGATTTGGCTAATATCTAGAGAAGGTTCACCTTGCAAAATATTTATGTGCCAAAAAAATTACTATTGATAATGAAGAGACTCTTTCTTAACTATCCTTGACTTAATGTATATTTGAACTTAGAAACTGTTATTCTTGTTTATAATTTTCATAAATAAAAGCTTAGAGATTTGATTGTACTTTTTCTTATGCAATAAATGCTTACTTAGAACAGTTGATACTTTATTTAAAAACTGTCACTATTTGAAATTACATTAGACTAGAATTAGTTTTTCCTCTAAAACTAATTTCTCAGTTTACATTTTCATATTGTATCTTCTCCTTTAAAATCGTTTTTAAAAATTCAACCTTAACAAATACAGATTTTTAATATTCTTTTTACTTTCACCTTTTCAATTCGTTTTGTACACAGGGATTTTCTAGGATGGCTTCTGAGATAGGAAGGGAGAAGAGCCAGGACTGGGGATCAGCTGGACTGGGTGGAGTATTTAAAGTGGAGTGGATACGCAAAGAAAGCCTTCCCTTTCAGTTTGCACACCATTTACTGAACCCTTGGAATGACAACAAAAAAGTACAAATAAGCAGAGATGGGCAGGTATATACTGGCATCTGATTTTTTGTTTTTATTTTGTTGTTCAGATGAGAATATATAGGAATACAATTTGTATATTCCTTATGTACACAGGAAACACTGGTTTTGAGGTGTTAAAAAAACTAGTAAAAGTGTATGTGCAAATATGTTGTATAGCTTCTTTTAAAAAAAACGTTTTGTTAAGTTTTGCTTCTTGCTGTATGAAATCTTTCATAAGTTACTTCGTGGAAATGTCACTTGTTTTATTAACTGAACATCAAAGCAGAATATAATTCTTTGACTAAAGTCTCAAGCTGACAACTGTATTACTAATTTCATTGTGCTTTAAGCTGGTTATATAAAGTAAATAGTAGCTTTTTAATATGAGACTGGCTTGCTTTATTTCTGTCTGCTTTGCTTTCATGATATAAATGCTAGTTATGGTGATGGGAATTAACAAGTAGTGCTAAAATACTGTACTAACTGCATTATACAATTTAATTCTTATGAATAATACAGTGACCTTTACTTTGGTTTTAGGAAAGAGAAAGTATATTCAGAAGTTGGTTTTGCCAGAATTACATCTGGTAATTTGTTTGAAGCAGTGTGGTTTTCTTCAGGTCACTCCAGAGAGAGAGTTGAGCTCTTTTTGCATACTCTTTAGCAGTATCGTGCTACAGTGACATTGTTTTTTACTTGTATAACAATGTTTTAATGCTATAATTTTGATTTTAAATTAAATAATTCCTAAGATAAGAATAGTCACTTTAGATGTTTTCTTGGGATAAAAGAAATCCAAACATCTTATATGTTGGATTTCAAAATAAACTTTTGGAAGTTCTAATTGAGTGTTTTTGTTGAATCTCTGTTTAAAACAAAATTTGTTGTTTTTACATAGACAAAATTCCAGATTAATGCCATGGAAATATGTAAAAATCAGTTTGTCAGAAAAATGAGGCATTTGCATGTTACATAAAGTTTAAAATCAGAATGTGGACTGTATAAAAGAAAAATTAGAGTAATATGTACTATTCTGTTTTAGGATGATCTAATTTTTAGAAGTGGAATTTAAAGTATTTTTTACAGTTTTATCTGCATAGATTTTTACTGATTAAAAAATTCAGTCTAGCTCTTTTTTATTGTTTACTTTGACTTTTGATGTATTTAGGAACTAGAACCCCAGGTTGGTGAACAGTTGCTCCAGTTATGGGAACGTCTTCCACTGGGAGAAAAAACTACAGCTGATTGATACTAAGGTTGTACTGTGCTTGGATTTGGATACTGCTTGCAATATTTGTTATCATTAGAATGACTTTCAGCTTATTTATCCTTTTTTTCATTTTTCATTCTTTCAGAACTCTTGACAGTGGGAGAAGATTATTCCTGTTATAACAAGTTAATGCACTGATTTTTCTAAAAACTCAGATGAGTTGTTGTGTGTCATGAGTTGAGATTTTAGTTTAGAGTGTTACTTCAGGATCATCATCTTCATATATAAGAAGAGATCATTTAAATTTTTGTAGTGATTATAGGGAATGATTATATGTTTGTTAACTATGTTTATGATGAACAAAATAGTAATTTCATTATTTGATACAAAGCAGCTATTTTAAACAAACTTAATTTGAAGGTAAACATTTCTTTAAAACATTGAATTGTTGACTCTTAATGCAGAACTCTTACTGAGGACTTTTAATGAAGGAAAAGCATGAATATTTCAGTACATCTAAGCACCATTTTAGGAATCTTAGGTTTATCTTTAAAAAACAACAAACCAAACTTTAAAAATATCTCTTTTAAATGTAGTGTATATAAGGGCTATTTATTCTGCCATTTATAACTTCTGATGCTCTTTTTCTGTGATTACAGAGTGTGGTAAAATCTGAAGAAAGGCAATTTTTCCCTGCCTTTGATCAGATCAGGTTAAGTGCTTAATTTTGTTCCTGGTCCTGCCTCTTAATCCTATGTACAGTATACCTCTTTTTTTTCCTTCCCCAGAAACAACCTTCATATATCAATTATTATTATAATCTTTTTTTGCTACAGAAACTTGATTTAGACAGGCTAAAACTCTAAGGAAATTCACGCAAGTTTTTAAAATTGCTCAGCAGTTATCAGTAGCTTGGTTGCTATTATGTCTTTGAGACAAAAGTCCATGAGGACCACAATTCTTAATAATTCTTCCCTTTTTCAATGTCTTTTTCTCTCACTTGTGTTTTCTACATATATGGTTTAATAAATGGTAAATTTAATGCCAAATCTCATGTTTCTTTGCCATCTTGGTTTCTTTGTTGGCTGTCTTTACCACCACTGCTTACAAGATTTCCTTAGAGACTTTTTGAAGGGAAATAGAAGTACAGAGCAAAAATAAAATGTCTTTGTAACTGAGCCCTAAATAGGGTAGGCTTGATTGTACTTTTCATGATACAGTTGAGTTATTGTTATACAATGAATTTAGTTTAAAGATGAAAAGGAAACAAGTGTTCTGGTTCTGTATTGGAGAACAAAGAAGTGAAAAATCATGGGTCAGCATAAAGTCTTGAGAACTCTTGTACTTTTTCTCAGAAAACATCCTATTGGTGCATTGGTTTGGAATAAGAGCTGTGATTTTTGCCTGTATTAGCAATTGTGTATGTATATACATGTACATACATATATATACATACACGTACACACTCATACTTTGAGACACACCTGTAAGCTGAGCCAATATGAATTATGTTTCATTGTCTGTCTATTACATTTCTTTTCCTATTTGAGAAAGTTATACTTTTACTGATAATGTATACTTTATTTTTTTAAGGTGTGTATGTACAAGTTTGCAGTGTTCTAAATTTAGAGAGACTTTTAAAAAGCAAAACTTGTTTAAATTTTCATCTGTTTTGTAACATCTAGCCCTGTGCATAAATTATGGGTTTGTTGGTGGAGTGAATATAATTCAAATGTAATTAACATGTTGTTTTTGGAAGAAATGAACTTTAAATATACTTATTAAATGGAATTCTATTAAATTCAGATCTTGCGTATCATATCCTTTCCGTATTCCCATGTAACAACTTGTACATATCTCATATGAGCATAGTCATTATGACTTCTTTGTTTGGGCTCTTAAAAACTTGTTTTTGACATGTTTCTGGAACTAATAGGACTAAAATAACAATCATCAATATTTTCTGAGCTATTAATATCAGTAATCCTCTTCCAGTGGCAAAAAACTCAAGATGTGTGTTTAATATAAAATTTTTTAAATATTTCACTATAAAATCTGTTAAATATTAATAAGATAATGTGAAAGTTGAAATTGATACCATATTGAAACATGTTTGTATATTACAAGGAGTACCTTGTCCTTAAATGCTAATAGTTTTCCTTCCAGAAAACATCACTACCTAGTGTTTCTTTGTAGAAAATAGTAGTACATACAGCACTTGATTTCTGTCAGCATTAGGAATAGGATTGGAAAGAGGCACAGGTAGGAAAAGAGAGCAACCAGCCTCACCTGTCGAAATTGACCTATATAGTCAATGAGGGATGGGAGCTGATCAGTGGGAATTCGCTCAGTGACTGTATTAGTCACTTTCCTGTTGCTGTGATAGAGACACTGACCCAAGCAATTTATAGAAGGAAGAGTTTATTTGAGCTTACGGTTCCAGGGGAGTTACAGTCCGTCATGGTAGGGAGGCATGGTGGCTGGAGCAGGAGCAACAGAAGTGTAGCTCTCATATCATCACACAGGCACAGGAAGCAAGAGAGAAACTGGAGATCCTGCAAGGTTTAAGAACTCTGTAAACCCACCCCCAGTGATGTGCTTCCTCCAGGATAGCCACACCTTCTAAAACCTCCCAAAACAGGAGTGCCACCATGTGGAAACAAAATGTCCAAATACTTGGAGCCTATGGGGGACATTTTCATTCAAACCATACAGTGACCAACAGATGCAAGCAGCAGGAAAGTTTAAGTATGCAAGGATAGAGCTATGTGGGTTGGTGTTTGTAAAGGGCCAGTGGCCTGATAAGGGTGGAAGGACCTGTTTACAGAACAAGACTCCCTTAATGCTGGGTGGAATGTTCTAGGGGCTAACAGTGCTCTGCTAAGGCTAGTCAGCCTTAGTAATAGTTTTTGATCAGTCAGGGTTTGTGTGTGTGTGTGTGTGTGTGTGTATGCGTGTGTGCAGTCTCCCTTTATTCCAGACCCTGAAGAGGAAAAGATTGGTGTGGGGGTGCCATAAAGTCATTCCAACTTCTTGCTGTTGAGAGGGGGTTGTCATGGGACTGGGAACTTCAGGGTCTGCTGGAAGAGGGGCATAAGGGAGTTCTCTGGTGGAATGGAGCAGTAACATAGTCTTGATTTGATTCCGGGTAGTGGCTTGGGCAGTCACATGGGATACTGCAGTCATGCAGTTATGTAAGATAGTTGATTAAGCATCATTCAATGTTTACTAAAAGGAGGATACAAACCGGTCCAAGTGGGACCAAGGAGAGCAGCCATTGTCTCATGCCAGGCCAAGGTCCTCCTATTTCTGAATACTTGGGAAGTTCTGAAGCTCAGTCTCTCAGTCTCTTTTCTGCATCTCTCACTATTTATGACTGGTTGATATAGAAGCCGCATTCTTCCTAGAGGAAGAGACAGGTGCCTCCCTTTTCAGCAGTCAGGAGGTCCATCCAAGGCTCATCAGTTTTAGAGAACAACTCCTGAAAAGGAGTCTATCTAATTTGAGAGGATTGTGACGGAGGCTGCAATTTTATCTGGGGATTCTGAGAGGACTTCAGATGGCTGATGGAAGTAATAGGTGGAGGTGGTCATTCTGGCTTTGCCTGTGCTGAGAGCAGAGGAGATGCACAATGTGGCCATAATAGGAAGGAGTTGAGTGGAATCTTTGTTGGTGGGAGGGGGGAAGGTAAAGACAGAAGGGATGCCATGTGTTTTGTTTTTTAGAAGTTGGATGTCAGGGCTTTGAAAGACTCAGATGCAAACACTACATCAGTTGACAGGGAGACAGGCATATGTGGAAGAGTTTGAGCAGAAGAAAACCCCTTAGGAGCTGAGGCAGAACTAGTATGATAGTGCAAAGGAGATGAGTTGAGAACCAAATGGGTTGGACAGTGATCTCATCTTCCCTAATTAGATACTTGCCTATAAGTGTTGCCTCTTGGATGGGTTGATAATGGAAGAGGGGGAGAGGAAGATGAGAGTTTAGGATGGATTTTAATTGAAAGTCACTTGGGTGGAGGGATAGGTTGATGGGGAGAGTTTTGTTGTCAGTGTCAGAGGGATAGGACCCTGCAGTCACAGAAGGAATTGGATGAAGGGCAGGTTGAGGGAGAGGGGGAATTGGGAACATGGGATGTAAAGAGGGGCTTGGGAGAGAAGAAGGGTATCAGGGGATATGGCCCCCATCGGGGTGTTGAAAGGATTTGAGTTGGTTGTTGGCTGAGGATATTTTATGGACATAAGCTGCGTGAGGATAGAAAACATACCAGTTGAGTTGAGTAATTGGAGAAGGGCAATAGCCCATCATTCAGGATTGCAGAAAGGGTAAGGGATTGTGAGAGGGTGGAAGAGGCAGAGTCATTTTGAAAGGTCAGTTATGAATATGGAGTTTGGGAATGGGTCAGTTAAGAAAAGTTGTAGTTTCATGGGGGAATCTATCCATGAGGAGAGAGGGGTTGGGACAGCCAGTGACCATTGGACTCTAGTAGAAAGACAAACCCAGCAGTTGAAGAGAAGGTAGAATTAGTGGTTTGTAGGAATTGGTGGGTTTGACTAAGAAGGGGCATTCATCTGTTGGGAGCTAAAGGGGAGAGTGAGAAGGCAGCCCTGGGAAGGAGGTGAATCGAAACAGATAAAGTAATGGGCCACAGAATAGAATTTTATCTGATCTGAGGTGAAGGAGATGAACTTTTCTTGTAGCCAGAGGTCTTCTATGATGTTCAGTAGTTCGTCAAATATGATGGGTAGGGGGACTAGCTAGAGGTCCTGTTTTATGTGTGTCAGGAATAATCAGAGCTACATTGACCCTGTAGAGACCACTGCCATAAAACCTCCCCTTACATTCGGTATTCTTTCCTACCTTCACTCCCTTTCCTATCCAGATAAAGATGTAAGTATTTATAAGGGTAATGAGGTTAGGTTTTTGTGAATGATCAGAGACTGGAGCCCTCTACAGGTGGCAGGGAAAAGCGAATACTGGGTCTGCATGATACAGGAGCCGGGGTCCTTCAGGGAGACCCTGACAGGAGGGTGGTGTTTGGCAGTAGTTGGACTGTCAGTACCCCCCAGACCTTGGGATTGACAGAAGTCTTTAAGGGTGGTGGTCTTCAGAGAGGAAGTGAGAAGTGCTGGTTGAGCCAGAGTCCAACATTAAACAAGGTAGTTGTTGAGTTACCCATAGGGTGAGCTATAGGGTGGCCCCAAGTTTTTTAAGTCTCCTTATAGGAGAGGGACATGGGGCACTCAGGCATGACGATGAAAGAATGTGATATAGTAATTGTCTGAGTGTACAGGGGACCTAGGAATGAGCCTAGGAAAGCGGGGGATACTCCAGAAGTGTAGGAGCTTGAAGAGGGTCCTTACTAGGAGGTGAGAAGGGAAAAGGACACCCAGGAGTTGACCACAAAAGAATATTGGAGGCCAGTCACTCACCCAATTACCCAGGCTTCCTCAGACAACTTACCTTCAGTGAGTGGGGTGTGTGAACCCAGACTGCCACCTTCCAGTGGTCCCACTGTCCACAGAGTGGACAGATCTTAGAGGTGCCATGGTTTAGGCAAGCCTTTGCCCAGTGCTCTGAATTGCCACAACAGCAGCAGGCTCTGGGAAGGGGAGTTCTTTAGGAGGACATGGGGCTGGGGGTGGCCTTCTGAGGTGGTCGGTTCTGAAGGACCAAGGCCAGAAGTTGGTACTTGGCCTTTAAATGTTTTTTCCTTTTCCCTTTCCACCTCATCTTCCAAATCATTAAAACCCTTAAATGCTACATTTAAGAGTTCCTATTAGAGAATTGGGCATGGTGGTGCATGCCTTTAATCCCAGCACTTGGGAGGCAGAGGCAGGTCTATCTCTGTGAGTTAGAGGCAAGCCTGGTCTCCATAGTGAGTTCCAGGCTAGCTGGGGGCTACAGGGAGACCCCATGTCAAAAAGACCAGAAAAAAAGAAAAGAAAAAAAGGGAGAGTTCCTATTAGACTATTAGAGAGTCTCCAGTCTCTGTTGTAACTGTCTTAAGTTTTCTGAGATATCAGGAGCCGACTGGCTGATGTATTGGATCTGAAGGAGGAAGGTGCCTGCAGGCATGGAGAAGTCTAAGTTGGTGTACTTGGTAATGACCTCCCTTAGCCAGGCTTTGAACAGGGCTAGATTTTCATCTATGCCCTGTATAATTTCTCTAATTTTGTTATAGTTAACCTGTGTAGGAGTGAACTTTTGCATTTCCTCTAGGAGGCAGGTAACCCTATGGTTGATGTAGAAGTTGACAATGTTATTCATCTTGCAAGCCAGCCCAGCATTGTGGTGCGAAGGGCATCCTCTATAGCAGGGTATCGAGTAGGCCACTGTTCATGGAGGCCATCAGCATGAGTGTGTAGCACCTGCCAAATTCTGTCTTTCATCGGGGGTGAGGGTAAACGTAAGAAAATAATAAATGTCTGCCCAGGTCAGAAGGTATAATTGTGCAATGCAGAGAAATTCCTTTCTAAATTTGGTGGGGTTTATGGAAAAGGAACCTAGTTGGGACTCGATTTGGCTCATGTCTGACAAGGAAAGGGGGACATGGACTGTGTCGTTACCCTGTACTCCTGCCGCTTCCTGGGGGCGGAGTGGGGCGTGATAGGACTGGGCTTGGGAATGAGATTTTGAGCATGTAACAGGTGGGGAAAGGGAAAGAGGGTAAACGAGAGGGGCAGGAAGAGGCATAGGAGATTGATAAGGGCCAGGAAGCAGGTGTGAGTGAGGGAGATATTTTGAGGGAAGGCTGGGGTCGGAGAATGGAAGTGGGGCTTAGATGTTGGGGAGTAGAGGGTGG